GTGCACAATTCTTCAGGAAGGGTTAGAGAGATGGAAATAGCATGTTCAGAAGTATATAGACGTAGATGGAGGAAATAAATTGAGAAACAAAGTTCACATTTTGATATTTTGTTTAATAAAGGTATCTACTATTTTGCAGCAATACTTTTTTGCTTACCTACAAATAAAAGGAAGGGCAAAAGAACAAGTAAGTTCCTTTCTTGAGTTTATACTTTAGAGGAATATGTCCATAAATATTTTATTTGTTCATTTAATAAATCTTTTTTGATCATCGATCAAGTAAGTGGTAGACATTAGACTGGGTACTTGGAGTGTAGCTTTACAGGGAACACTGCCAATATTAGTTGCTGATGATGAAATTTGAACTTGCAAACAAAACTTAGACTTTTGGAAAACATGTATGCTACTATGAACTTGATAGCTTTCCAAATCTTTGACTTTTCTGATGTGATTACTGGAATAATGAATGTGATTGTGTTATTAAAAAGTGTTAACATTTAGAAGACCAACATAACTCAGTGAACCAGTGTATTTCAGATGGCCAGTGCAGGGTGTTACAAAATGAAACACAGTATAAAGGAGTCATTCAAAGTGTAGTATAGACCAATGGCTTTTCACACAATACGAGTATGAAAAGTTCATTAAGAAAGTTTCAAAATTCCACATTACAGTCAACTTTTTGGAATCTACCACTTGTTGAATTCTGGTATAGCATCAAAGAATATTCAGAACTAACTGTAAAGGCCATTCAAATTCTTGTTCCTTTCCCAGTTAGATAACTATTTCAATAAAAACAACGTGCTGTAAAGAGTTTGAATGCAGAAGTAGCTGTGCGAGCCCAGCTGTTGTGTACTAAGCCAGACTGTAAATAAGAAGAGGTGGTGCTCTTCTCATTCATTTTTTGTTTTGCTTTAGAAAATAGTTATTATTTTTTTTACATAAAAATGCTATTTAGGTTTGCCCAGAAGCCATCAAGGCAAGTGGCCGGGTCCCCTCAGAGCAAACACCCTTCCGAGACTAAGACCCAAGGGGAATACACGAGTAGGCATGTGGTCTGGCTGATGACCACATTGGTCACCGATAAAGGGGAAGAGGGGGAAAAACAGCAATGAAGTTGGGAACTAAGTCCGACTACATTTAATAGACTCTTGTGAACCTGGCTGGAGACCTGGTTGGCAAGACCCGGGGACTCCTGGGCCCAGAGGCAGTAACATGGCCATAGAAGACTAGAGTGGAGAATGAAGCGTCCAGCTGATATGAAGTGAAGTGAGATGCACGAGAGCACCCATACTGTCAGATTTGTTGGTTAAGTGCCGTGGAGTCGGTTCCGACCCATAGCGACCCGTACAGAATTTCCAAGGCTGTAATTCTTTACGGGAGCAGAAAGCCTCATCTTTCTCCCGCAAAACAGCTGGTAGTTTCGAACTGCTGACCTTGCGTTTCGCAGTCCAATTCGTAACCACTATGCAGCCAGAGCTCCTTTCAGATAGTACCCACTTAACCTGCCTTCAATAGCTGGATGATCAGAACTCAACTAGAAGAAGAAAGAAGAGGGGAAAAAAACAGTAACCCATTTCAGTTTGATGAACTTTACCTATACTTATGGATATGTTGTTGTTAAGTGCTGTCGAGTCTGACCCACAGAGACCATGTTTAGGGTTTCCAAGGAGCAGTTGGTGAGCTTGAACCTCCAACCTTGCAGTTCAAACAACTTTGCATTCTGATGCATTAACCCACAGCGCCACACCAGGACTTATGGATATATAGCTCATAAAAGGGAACAAAGCTTTACAGCGATGATCACTCCTATCCATTGGTACACAGGGTTGAAAGGAATGGGCAATGTAGACATTGGCGACCCAAAATGAGGGGGATACAAAGGCAAGAAGTAACTGGCTTACAAGCTTTCAAGAGGGAGCCTAGTTCCAGACGGGGAGGGGGGTGGTCTTTACATGCTCTTGATGAACCAAAAGTCTAATTTAATTAAATAAATTACTTTAAACCTTTATTTTGTTGCAGTTAAGAGTTGTGGAGCCAGTTTTGACTCATAATGTCCCTATGTACAACAGAAGCAGAATAAAACATGGTCTGTTCCTTTCCATCTCACAAAAAAATAAAATAAAATAATTTAAAAATGCCATTTAGGTTACATTTAGTGAATTTATTGCTGTTTTTTTTTAATGAAGTCAATTTCTAAGGATTTTTCTTATTTTCAATTTCTAATAGAGTAAATATTGATATAATCTATACAAAAACTTTTTGTGGTTCTTAATAGTGCTAAAGAGTCCAAAGAGGTTCTGACATGAAAAAGTTTGAGAGTGGCTGATTCAGAGAAATGACTATATATCTGAAAAAGTGTAGATGTTGGTGAGATTATTGAGGGTTTTACACTTTATGCTAAGAGAATTGTACTTTATCCTCAAAAGTAAGGAGCCATAGATACTTTTTGTATTAAAAAAAATGATACCAACCAAAGTGGTACGTATAGAAATACGGTAAACTTGTAGATGATGGTTATATTAGTTCTATGGAAGTGGGATGTTACAGATGATTAGCAGAAGTGCTACTTGCTAAGGTCTTAAGGGTCTAGTTTAGGTTTTGTTCAAGTTCCCTGAGTTGTACAGAGGGTTCAAGCGCTTGGCAGCTAATGAGAATGTTGGCGATTCAAGCCTTCCCATAGGCACCTCAGAAGAATGTCTTAGCAATCCAAGTTTGAAAAATCAGTCATTTGAAAACCCAATGCAACATAGTTGTATTCTAACACACGTGGGGTTGTCATGAGTCAGAATTAACTGAGTGGCAACTGGATGGTTGTTGTTGTTAAGTTCCATTGAGTCAATTCTGACCCATAGAGAACTTGTACAGGGTTTCCAAGGAGCAGCTGGTGAGCTTGAACTGCCGACCTTGTGCTTTAAACTAACTTTGCAGTCCAGTGCATTAACCCACAGTGCCACACACACACACTCCAATTGGATGTTTAGGTTGGGCTAAATGAGAGAAAGGTGTGAAAGCAGCATTAATCTGCAACTGATAGAATCAGGGGAGGGAATATTGTCAATTTGTAGAGAAAGTTGGAGTGTTTTCAGTTTTTTGTAGTTCTATGATTTAACATTTAAGATAGAATAACCTGGTAGACATATCCAGGCGAAAACTGAAAATTGAAACTGGAGTAGCATTTCAGTTCTTGTGATATCATGGAAAATTTCTTTTGCTTAGAGGTATGGACCACTAATGCTTGACACACAGCCCGTCACTCAAATGCAAAGTTAATTCACATCTCTGCTTTCCCAGGTCTTCATCTCTGACACCAACCACCATGTGGCATTTTCTCTCTGTGTCTTTACCCACCCAGAGTTAGGTCTTTATTAAATGACTGCATGCATAATCCACTTGTGTCCCAAGTCTGGGGTCTTCACAAGCTAGCACTCTGTACTTATAATCAGTTGCCAAAAAGGCAGACTCTCACTGCCCCTATAGATCTCATAAGTCTCTAGAATGACTCACAGAACTAACACCTTTTTAATGTAACCACTAAGGTAAGCTTCCAAGTGCATTAACACTCTGCACAACTCAGGGAACTTGAGCGAAACCTAAACTAGACCCTTAAGACCTTAAGCAGTACTTCTACTAAGAGAGGCACAGATGAGGTCTGGAAGGAATTTTAAGCATGGAACTTCATGTCTGCAGAGAATCACAGGTCAGTTCATTTGTATCATCAATCTCAAAGGAAATGCTAAGATCTGAGATCCTTTATAATTGTAATTCATTATAGATATGCATGTCTGAGTGGGCCCTTAATGTAGACATAGTAAATGACTGATCAAATCACTGAACTTGCATGACTGACTCCACTGTGTCTCATCTTTTCCTCAAGTATGTTTGATGCGTGAGGTAAGGTCTTTGAGCTCCCACCTCATTTGTACACACACACATTAAGTGTTGCCTGACTGTTTAAAAAAAAAACAAAAACAAAAACAAAACAAAAATGCAAAGAACCTTGGATTGTTGGAGAACCCCAAGGACTATTTTCAGAAAGCAGACAAAAAGCCCAATTGAGTTTTTTGTCCCACATTTAGGTAATCAACTGGTGATCTGATTGCTTCAGTTGTATTTTGGAGACTATAAGTGATGATAACATATCGTAATTGATAATACATTAATACGTATTTATTGACTACTATTTGTTGTAGCGATTGTGGTGATTATGAGTGGGCTGCTAACCACAAGGTCAGCAGTTGGAAATTACCAACTGTTTCGCTGGAGAAAGACTAGGCTTTTTGCTCCCATAAAGATTTACAGCCTCGGAACTGACTCCAGGGCACATCACCACTACCAGCACCATTTACTAATAGAGTGTTTATGTCCTTGTATATATGTATGTATGTGTGTGTGTGAGAGAGAGAGAAGAGAGAGATTAACCCCCTGGTTAACCTGTGTTCATTTTCATTATTTATTTATAGCACTGTACAAAATACAGTATTCATATGCAGAATAATAAAATGCTGTTTAAATGAGAAAAATTTAACAATGAAAATAGAGTTTTTCCTCTCTTAAAAAAATTGACCCAATTAGTCAGTAGTACATAGAAGAGAAGCATCAATTTCATATCCCTCTTGTGTTAAGTGTTCATCGAAATTCATTGATACTGTGTAGATAATTAACCAAGGCTTTTTTAAACTGCTGAGAATATGCTCTAACAACCATCTGATAAAATGAAAAACTGGAAAAATGTAGTCAGATGAATGATTCTCTGAAGGAATAATGGTGCAAATGAATTATCAAAGTGTGAAATCATTAAAAGCAAAACATGTTTGGGTTTTTATAGAATCTTAATTGCAGGTTTATGTATTTTCTTTTGTAAGGTAACTTCAAAGAAAATTGCTTAACTAAATTTTGGGGGGCTGGTGTTGTAGGACATATATTATACAATAATTTATTTTTCACATAAAAGCTGCTGCTCATTTTTTTCCAGCATTAACATACGTGCTTTCCTCATCTAGGAGAATATATAAAAAACTGGAGGCCAAGATATTTCCTTCTGAAGACAGATGGCTCATTCATAGGATATAAAGAGAAACCTCAAGATGTGGATTTACCTTATCCTCTCAACAACTTTTCAGTGGCAAGTAAGTTAATTATAATTGTTGATTCACCTTGTAGTTATTTCTTTGTATGACCTTATGTTTCACATAGCTACGGATCTATGAGAAGCCTGTGAAATCATTTTAGTTTGTATTTAAAAGTAAATAATTTTTGAGGTTTGGTAGACTTTCTGTTGCTTAGCATAGAGATTATCGATAACATGGTTTTGTGTGATGCAATATAGTTTGTTTTTTATTATTAGACTTCAAATGTGATAAAAAACAATTTTCCAAATATGTATTTGCAGGATTTCTGTATTAAATTAACCAAAGATCTTTGTACTTAAATTGGAGCTTGGTTGTAAAACATTGTGGAGTATTTAGTGCAAAGTCTTCTTCTATTATAATCTTAGCTCTTCTGACAGTGCTGTGAGAAACAACTGATTTCATTAGAATTGTTTTTTGAGAGATTTTTTATTTATAGTCAGATTTTGCTTCCTACACATACCTAACAAACATGTTTGTAATGTAAAGTATTTGGAAATTTTATATTTGTTTGAATATAATAAAAATTAAGCTGAATGATCATGGTAGTGATGACAGCAATTTAAATATTTTTGGCTTTTTTCTAATTTAGTGATTAATCAATGAAAGGTTCTTTCTGTGTAAAGGAGTCAAGCACTTTAAAAGTATGTTGAATTAAGATAAACTTGTAAAGGAGCTAGAGTATATGTACCATTGAGATATAATCATTTACTAGATAGCATCCTGAATTTTGATTTTGGTTGTATGCTGTCATCTATTAGCCACACTTAGTAAAGATATAGGGGAATTTCCCCTAACTCTAAACGAAATAAGATGAAAATAAAACAAAGCAACACCATGACAAACTTTAAGAAAGCAAAAGCCCTTGAACATTATATAATGCTTTTGGCGGTTTTTGCCTCTAATGTGTAGGTTATACCTTTTCAGTAGGGTAGAATGAGTGATATATATACTTATTTTTGGAAAAGAAAATAAAGGGTTTATGAAGTCATCTGATTGATAAGGATATTAACTAAAATTTTCTGTGTATCAGTGGATTCTTCTGTAGAGATTTTTGTTATAAAAAAAATTGAGATTGCTCTCGTATGTATTAGTTAAGGAAAACATCTTTTTGCCACTCAAATACCCAAAACATATGGCTTTCTTCCATATTTTTCTCATTTGAAATATTGTGTATTTTGTGTAGACTTAAGAACCCATTTTCGTTCTACAGATCGTATGGGTGGACATTGTTTTACAGATAGAAATTGACTTTTGAAGCAGCGTACCATGATCATTTCTACCTAAACCCAGTATAATTTCTTAGTTTGTCCATTTTACCAGCAAATACTATTGGTTTGTTTGAAATAATTTACAGAAGTACAGAATTCCTTATATCTGCTGATCAAAATGCAGCATTTTTTGACCTTATGAGATTTCACACCCCAACAAGTTTTAAAGACATACTGTATGTCACAGTCTGCCAACATCTGCTCCAACACTTCCACTGGCAGAGGCTGGAATAAATGCTGCACTCTTGGGGAGAGAGCCTGCTCAGTGACTGACAGCCAGCCTATCCATGAAACAAATAGATCGTATTCTACATCTGTAATTTTTACTTGTATGAACAAGTAGTTCTAGATTCAAACGAACAAGTAAAGTTGTAGGCCAACTCTTTCATTTCCAAATGTATTATTATTAACATCAGTCTTACACAAAAATGATTTTAAATGGATTAATGTTACAGTCTGATTTATTACAAAGTTAAAGTTTAAAAATAGTAATCATTACTTTAGGGAAAAAAAAAAACAAAACCCTGTACAGGGTCGCTATGGGTCGGAACCAACTCGATGGCACATAACAACAACAACAACAATTCTAGTGAAAAGGGTATTGAGGGAAGAAATGGCTCATATTTGATCTTGTTATAGCTACAATGGAGTCCTGGTGTGGCGTTGTGGGTTAATGCACCAGACTGCAAAGCCGTTTGAACTGCAAGGTCCTTGGTTCAAGCTCACCAGCCTCTCCTTGGAAACCCTATACAGGGTCGCTATGGGTCAGAACCAATCCAACAGCATTTAACAACAACAACAACATGGCAACCATTAGGAGGTTGGGCAGGTCACTCTCACAAAATCTTGGATCTTTTAGTTCCTTTATCAGTATAGTAGAAACAGTTGTATTCAATGAATTTGTAAGGTCCTTCTTGTCTTGTCAAGAGCACAAGTTAATGTAGGATAAACACTGGATTTCTAACCACAAGTTTGATGGTTCAAACTCACTAATGGCTCAGTAGGAGAAAGATGAGACTTAAGAAAGATGTCTGCTTAAGCAAAAAATTGCTGTCTTAGAAACTTTAAGTAGGATCACTATGAGTCAAAATTGACTCAATGGCAAGTTTCTTTTTGGGGGGGGTGGAGTGTCTCCTAAGATGGCTCAGTGGGTTAAGCACTTGACAACATGATCAGTGGTTCAAACCCACCAGCCACCCTATGGGAGAACAGTAAGGCTGTAAAGATTTCTAGTCTTGAAAACTCTAAGGAGCAATTTACTCTGCCCTTCTGGGTCACTTTGATCCAGAATCAACCTGACAGCAGTGCGTTTGTGTTTGTTTGTTTTTGGTCTGTCTGACATTGTCAGATAATAAGAGTCATACAAAATTCGATCAGATCCTTGAAGAGTGTGTAGGCTTAAGATAAAGGAAGACCTTGCTGTCCTAGAGGAACAAAGAAAGTTTTTCTATTTAGAGAAGGAGCCATTTCAGCAGGAGGTACCTTACCAGTGCTTTCTCTTCTGCCTTATTGAAAGAAAAAGACTGACAGTATTTCTGAGATGTGTTGAGAAATGTTATGTGTACATTTATTTCATTAATAATTACAAATTGAGTCCCCTGTTTTTTCTGATATTAAAAACTGTCACTTCAAATTTATATTTTTAATGGAATTTACTGAAATACACTTTTTATCTGTGTTAAAACAGTATGAGAACTGGAAAGGAATTTAGAATTTATCATTCCAATCTTCATTACATTTCACATTCTTATTTTCTGCTTAAACTTTTCTAAAAAGATAGTCTTTGTATTGCCTCCATTTTACTTCTCAGCCCACTGCAATCTAGCCTCCTCTTTTATCCACTTGATTTCAATCACTTGTAATAAGATCTCAGTGGCCATTTAAATGTTAAGCTTAGTGGAACGAGCCATTTCTTATTTTTCTTGGATTTACATCTAGGTTGCTTTTTATGTTGTTGGTCACCACCTCCTCCTTGGGATGACCTCTCCCATTGTGCCTGGGATGCTCTCTGCCCTGGCTTTGTTCCTTTGTCTGTCCCATCAATTTTGACAATCCAGTGTTTAACTGGTCTGGCCAAGAACTCTTTTTCACTTGGTACCCTTTCCTTGGGTTGTGACATTCACTCCCAAGGTTTTACGTACAGGCTGTGTGCAGGATACGCCCACGTCTGTATTCTCAGGCCAGGGCTCTCTCCTAAGCATTAGATGAGCATATTCAATGGACTGCAGGACAACTCGACCTAGAAACTGTTTGAGACTCAACAATGTCCAAAACTTTATATAAAATAATTTTGTCTATCTCTTCTCCCTATTTAGAATCTCAGTTCTCTCTCATTGAGCAACAATTTGGATCCATTCCTGGAGTTTTTTCTTTATTTTTTTTGCATCTTTGCCTCCCTCCTAACCCATTTCTGTTGTTGTTGTTAGGTGTCATTGAGTCACTTTTTGAGTCATAGTGACCCCAGCTGACAGAGTACCTCATATGGTTTTCCAAACTGTAATCTTTATAGGAGCTCTGGAAGTGCCTTGGGCTGAAAGATCACAGCATTGAAAACACTGTAGAGCACAGTTCTACTTGGCGCACACACAAGGTTGCCATGAGTTGGAATTGACTTGATAGCAACTAACAATTGCAACAATGTGTAAACCTTTCCTCTCTGAGCCTTTGCTGGTACTACACCCTCTGACTGGAATGTTCTTCTGCCCTCTATTTGACTATATAATTTCCTTTCATCTATGAAGATTGATTTCACTTTTAAATTCCCATGCCCACTCATTGCTAAATTACACAAGATCGGTTTGAACCTCATTCAGACCCACCAATCAATCCTCAGAAACCCCTATACCAGGTCCTTGTGAGTCAGGCACTTAGCAACAACAATATGTGAAGGTGCTTTGGAAATATAATGCTATAGAGATGTGAGTAAAAATAAGTTCTTTTGCAACAGTTTGATTTAATTGTTAATGATTTTAGGTTGAGATCATCTGCATACAGAAATATTACATTTAGACAGAAAAATATTTAATGTAGGACACAAACAAACATTGGCAGCTATGTGTTTCAAGGTACTTTGAGCGTCTTAGCTTGTCTACCTAGTGGTTGTAGTGGTTGGTTGTATGCCATGCAGTCAGTTCCAACTCATAACGACCCTGGATAGGATTTCTGAGGCTGTAAATTTTTATGGGAGCAGAAAGCCTCATCTTTCTTCCATGGGAACGGCTGGTAGTTTCGAACTGCTGACCAACTCGTAACCACTACACTACCTGAGCTCCTTTGTTTACCTAGTCGTCACATACTAAACATTTTGACACATTTGGTTTCTTTCAAATGAAGAATCTTGGACATAAAATAATTTCTTTATGGAGGACTTAAGCATTTGCACATTTGCAGATGGTTAAGTACTTGCAGTTTGAACCCACCCAAAGATGCCTAGGAAGATAGGAGTGGTTGTTTGCACCTTGAAGGTCATAATCTTGAAAACCTTATGGAACAGTTGTACTCTGCACATGTGGAGTCACAATGAGTTGAAATAGACTTGTTGGCAACTAGCAGCACAAACAACATACCTACAACTAGATATTAAAAGGAATGCATCATGCACTGTTTGTATGTAGAAATTTGCCATTGGCTCTGGAAGGTACTCAAATAGAGCTAAGGGTGGAAAGCTAGTATTAAGTGCCAAAATGAGTTTAAATGTTGTAAGACTCGAGAGAAGAAATGGGTGCTGGG